GTGCTCTATGCTCCCGTCACATGTCGCAACTCGCCCGCCACCTCCTCCTTTGGAGTTGGAAGGTTCTGAGGTCACTTCGTGCCATTCACGATCCGGGTCTGCTCAACCGTACGGCTGATGAGCTGTCACAAGCTACGCTCCCAGGAGAATGGAGACTCCATTCCCAGACAGTCCAGCTGATGTGGAGACATTTCGGAGCCGTTCAGGTAGACCTGTTTGCGTCTCCAGAGACTTCTCACTGCCAGTTGTTTTACTACCGAAGGAACACTCGGCAGACGCACTGGCACACAGCTGGCCGTGGGGCCTGCACAAGTATGCGTTTCCCCCAGTGAGCCTTCTCGCACAGATGCTGTGCAAGGTCAGGGAGGATGAGGAACAGGTCCTGCTTGTGGCGCCGTATTGGCCCACTCGAACCTGGTTCGCAGAACTAATGCTCCTAGCGACAGCCCCTCCCTAGCAGATTCCTCTGAGGAAGGATCTACTGACTCAGAGACGGGGCACCCTGTGGCACCCGTGTCCAGACCTCTGGAAACTTCATGTCTGGTCACTGGATGGGACGCGGAGGTTCTTGGTGACTTACCCCAAGAGGTAGTTGACACCATCACTTTGGTGAGAGCACCGTCTATGAGACACGCTTGCGCCTTGAAGTGGAACCTGTTCGTCGAATGGTGTTCTTCTCGTTGAGAAGACCCCAGGAGATGCCCGATCAGGGTCGTGCTCTCCTTTTTGCAGCAGGGGTTGGAGCGAAGGCTGTCTCCCTACACCCTTAAAGTCTATGTCGCTGCGATTGCTGCTAACCATGACCCCGTGGAAGGGAAGTCGGTAGGGAAGCATGACCTGGTCATCAGGTTCCTTAGGGAGGCGAGAAGATTAAATCCTCCTCGGCTCTCCTCCATACCCTATTGGGACCTGTCTCTGGTGCTTAAAACACTACAGCAGGGCCCATTTGAAACTTTGCAGTCAGTTGAGCTAAGTTTCTTTCAATGAAAACTCTGCTCCTGCTTGCACTGGCCTCCATTAAGAGGGCTCCTCCATCCCCTCGGCAGCCAGACGTGGCGGAACGTCCAGAACCAGGCCTTTACTCGATGAATCCTTGAGAACCGGTAGAAGGTTGGGTTCCATATGTGAGACCTAAGTGGATCCCATATGTGTAATGTCCACGGTATAGCTTTTTTTGAGCCTGTGTTTCCCCGGCAGACTTCTGCCATTTCCAAGAGGGTTACAATCACATCTATTCTTCCATATGCACCTAAACGGATGTTCATATGTGTAAGTGCTTCTGAAACCTCCTTTGGGAAGGATGGGGCTTCCGCAATGTTCCTGCTCCAAGTGGAACGGGTACGTTTTCCCAGTGTTATCCAATCTCACTGAGTGGGTAGTGCTATGACAACAGTGACTGGTCTATTTGTTGCAAGCGCCGGCCTACACCAAAAAGGGGGCACAGGCGGCTCACACAGGACACTGGAAGGGGCAGCACCTATGGCACTTTGGTAGGGATCCCAATTCGTGGGTCACCGACGTGACATCGAGAGTGACCTACTGAAAGGAACGTCTCGGTTACGTATGTAACCCTCATTCCCTGAAGGAGGGAAAGGAGACGTCACGTCCCATCGCCTCAGCTGCTGTACCACCACTGAGCGGCCGGGTCACCGGCTCGGCTCCTCAGTGAAAACCTGGTATGCGTTGCACCTGCTGCCTTTTTATGCTCATGCTGTGATCAGCGGCAGCTGGATGCAATAATCGCATGCCAATGTGCATTGGCTCATTTAGTTTATGTTTAAAGTAGATTGGTCTCTCTAAGCGAGATCCCAATTTGTCGGTCACCGACGTGACATTTCCGCTCCCTCTTTCAGGGAACGAGGGTTACATACGTAACAGAGATGTTATTATTCCTCAATCACAAATTATATTTGTATTTATTGTCTGAATGCTGTTTTCTCGTCTTTTTTTTCTTCTTCAGCACATGATCGACTACAGGATTAGAAGAAAAGAATACAACATGGTGAATTTGTCCTTATGTTATTCATTTATTGTTCATTTGTTTTCAACCAGAATATACTGTTTTAACTGTGTGTATTCATTTATTTTGTGTATGTCTTAGGTCTGGTAAATGGTCACGCACCAGTTGTTTATATAATGTATATTCAGGTATTGTCATGGCTGCTTAAAAAAACAAAACAAAAAAAACAATATAGAGCTGGATCGAGAAGCGCAAACAATATTGTTTAATAAAAAATAAAAAAACACACACACAAAAGAAAAAGAGCACACTGGCAAAAAAACACGGCAAACTAAACAACCAACTTGAATAATGAACCAAAACCAAGGCTATAAATACACAAGGGCATAACACAGGACAGGTGTAACAAGCAACAAAAACAGTACTTAACACAGGCGGTAAAACTAGAACTAAACAAGCACAAAAAGACAAAACAGAAAATAACCCTGACATGTACCAGATGTACACTTGTGTGACATCAACACCCTATAAACACAACCGAATGATCATAACTTGTTTGTCAGAGTAATAAAAATGCTAGAAATTCTGTTTTTTTCTCATATTTTTCTGAATTTTCCCTAGAACGTGATCGACTTTTGCAAAGTCAGAAGATAATTACACCAAAAGGTGAATTTGTTTATATGGCTTTATTAAAATATGAATTATTTGACTTAAAGGATTTAAAAATAAATAAATAAATAATAATAATAAAAAAAAAATATATATATATATATAAATTATGCCTCTATATACACATGAATTTCTTTATACACTCTTAAGAAAAATGGTTCTAAACAGTACCAGAAAAGGGTTCTTTAGCTTGTAACAATAGCAGAACCCTTTTTGGTGCTAAACAGAACCCTTTTTATAGGGTTCCACAAAGAACCATGCTTTGAAAGTGCTAGAACCTTAAAGGAGCTATAAATAACCTTTTTAATGATAGTTTATTTCCATTCATATTAGTATATTCATATCATTAATATTAGTTTTATTAATATTATTTGAATAAATTATTTATTACTATTGTTGTTTTACCCGTCTATCTGCCTGGTCTTATAATATATCATAGCTTCTATTAAGGTTTTCATAAAAACAACATGTTGTGTCAATTAGGTATTTTTTTATTTTATTTAATGACATGTGAAATTATAGCAAAAATGACAGTGATCTAACAACCGTTATTAGCAGAATACATTAATAAATGACAATTAACGCTGAACATAAATAAATACTTAAAAAAAGTAAAACAAAAATAGAAACAGAAAATAGTGTAATGAAGACCAAGTCTCAGTGAAATACTGTTTTTTCACAATCCTCTATGATGCCTGTAAGTCCATCATTATGTGTATTTTGGTGTGATTGAGTGGCAATTTTTCTCTGCAGATGTCGAGGTTGTAGGATGTGACATCATCTGAAATGCACAGTTGAGTTTAGAGTTACAATGTGCCTCCTTCCATTTGTTTCTGTAAAAACAATTTTAAAACAGTTTATGAAGCCCAAAAGTAGTATATGAGCTCTTCACAATGTTATGTTAATGCATAAACCCAAGTAATAAATACATTTTAAAAAGAAAATAAATAAATATAACAATATGGAACATAAATTCAATATCTTTGTTACTTAGTGGAGATGGAGAAAGAAGTATCCTTAACTGACAGAGCTGGTCGCACTTACGTTCTCTTAAATTAAAAAGAGAAAAAGACATGATTGGTAGGAAACCAGTTAAAGTTTGAAAGTTAAAAATAATAGACATTTTAAGAAAGAAATAATTTACCCGTTGAGAGTGTGTTGACAGTCTGTGTAGCTGGATGACTGAGCTCCAGAAAATCAGTAATGAGCTTTCTTTTTTTAGAGTGTAGCCTGTAGGGATTTATATTAAAACAACAACAACAAAAGCATGTTGTGTGAATTAGGTAAATGTGAAAGTATTGAGAGGCAAAACACATGCATGTTAACACAACATTCTGCGATTTGTCTGTTTACTGTTTTATTTTCATATTTTTCTTTTTAGCATCCGTGTTCTTCAGAGATGAAGTTCTTTTGTTTGACTCTGCTGATTATTAGTGGAATTACAGTTTCAAGATCAGGTAATTTTTCACACGCATGTAAAGAGCTGAAGTGTGTTCATGTCTATTCATTGTCTAGGTGAGCTATAGTTTATTTATAATTATAGTTAATAGTTTATATGATAATGACCAGCTCACTGTAAGTTATGCCATTTATTACATGGTTACTTACTAACTTAATGAAAATGAAACTTTTGATCTGAGCTGAAATAATTTTTTTTACTTACTTGCGGTGTTCGAATTATACCGTGGCTTTTGGGGGAGCCCACATGTTTTTTTTTATAACGGGGGGGGGGGGGCAGTTACTGTTTGGGGGGGGGGGGGACAGTTACTGCTTTACATGGGATCACTGTAGCCCTAAAGTCTCATTCACCCTTGTGCATATTTAAATATGATGACTAGTTATGGACTACTTTTATGATATGCCCTTTTGATGGTTAACAGTTCAGCTGACAGTAGGTTCACTTTTAATTAGACCTGCTTTCTTTCTCTTGTAACAGAGCGGTATGAAGTAGTGGGAGCTGCAGATACTGTGTTTGCTGTAGCTGGTGAAGATGTGATTCTGCCCTGTTCAGTCAAACCTCTAATGAGTGTTGTGAACATGAGAGTGGAGTGGAATAGATCTGATCTGAGAGGTTCACTAGTGCATCTCTATGATGACCATGAAGACAGAAACACAGATCAGATTCAGTCCTACAGAGGGAGAACAAAACTGATCCATCAAGAACTACAGAGAGGAGATGCATCACTCAAACTCGCATCAGTCCAAGTCTCTGATGAAGGACGTTACAAGTGTTTTATTCAGTCCAAATCCTGGTTTGATGACACCACTGTTGATGTTAAAGTTGAAGGTGAAACCAATGAAAGCTAACATTTAATGAGTTTAGTCATGATGTGTGTTGTGTATGTTGCTGTTTTATGATATTGTTTTTTGCTCTTGTCAGCAGAACAGAAACAGATTTATAGACAGAAAAAGTTCACTCAATGAATGTTCTTCTTGTTGATCTGTAGCTTTAGGAACTCCTCCAGTGATCACTGTTGATGGATTTGATGATTCAGGAGGGCTTCATCTACAATGTGAATCTGAAGGTTGGTATCCTGAACCTGTTCTTGAGTGGCTGGACAGTAAAGGAGTCAGTTTGAGTTCAGAAACTACAGAGACACACAGAGAAACAGACAGATTCAGTGTGAAACACACCATCACTGTACATGAGAGAGACAGTACATATCACTGCAGAGTCAAACTGAGGCATCACATGCTGGAGGCACTAATAATCAGCTCAAGTAAGTACTGGGTTTGATTATGTATTTTATTTTTTTCACATGTGGTTTGAAAATATTAATTATAATTATTAATGTGCTGCTGAGTTGAATTAGGTGTGTTTAATTAAGCGTAAAATGTGCGTCGTTGGATGGCCACTTTTTCCGTTCATATGTTTAATCAAATAGTAATAAAGGTTTTACTAGACACAATGTGCTCAAGTCATTTTGTTTTACAGGTAATATGTTTGATTCTTGGAAGGCACCAGTCAAACTGATTTCAGTTATAGTTGTGGTCATTGTGATTGCTGGAATTGCTGGATTACTGATAGCTGTGCTTGTTCATAAAAATAGAGGTAAGGTTCATCTGTCAAGATTAGGGTTGGGTATCGTTTGAATTTTTATCAATTCCAATTTCGATTCTGCTTATCGATTCCCATTCTTATAGATTCCAAGTGGTTAAAACATAAAAAATTAAGTCAAACATTTAGATATCAAACATATTTATTCTTTGTCTTAAGTAAATTGCCGGAATTCTGCTGTGTGTGAATGCAGAATGAAGATTACCGGTATGAGCACTTACGAGTTCAGAACGCGCTGGCGTAGACCTCTACTCCGGGCCAATCCAGAACATTCTGACGCAGATGACGCATTTACTCTGTGCTGTGTTTGAAGTCGTGTAATGCAATGTCTCTGGGCCAAAAGAAGCTGCATGAATATGAACATTTGACACAAAAAAATGAAAACATCAACAAAAACACTGATTTACTCCTCCATGTTTACAAACACAACACCGGGATGTGCAGCCGTTTAGAGGTCATTTCTGTTTAAACATTTCACAGAATTTACCGGTAATTTGAAACCGATGTGTGAATGGTTCTTTACCGGAAAAAAGATGGCACGCCATTGCCTGTGTGAACAGTGCTATTTTGAATTGACCGGTAAAGTCGTTCCGGTAATTTTACGGCAATTTACTGGTATTACTGTGTGAAAGGTGCTAATGACTCACTCATTACTGGATGAATCAGTGTTTTTGAATGAATCTCTTGAATGAATGATTCAAAGACAAATACATTTTTAACAGCCACTTTTCGCCACCTAAAAAAAAAAGATGCGCACACAGGAATTGATAGGTGGAATTGAAATTTCAATTTTACAACAAGTATTCGATTCCTGACCTTAAGTATCTGATTCTGGAATTAGAATTGATTTTCGATTCCCATCCCTAGTCAGGATTATGTTCTGTGTTCTGTTTCCTGGGCTGCGTTCCACTTCGCTTTTAGACACACACTCGCAAGCTTCCCTAAACACTTTCCCTCAGGGGAATCCCTGCTGCCATTGTTCCACTTCATAAAGTGGATGAGGGAAATGTATATGGACAGACCCTCACCCCTCGATTTTGACTGAGGAAGTGAGTCCACTTCATACACTTCAGGCTGCTCCATAGACCACAATGCAACATGATTGTGACATCACAGCAGATCACATTTAATTTATCCCCACCCCAAACATCTCTATGAATTAAAAAAAAAATTATATTTAAAACAGCTCAAGCATACATCTATACATACAAAATGCTGCATCAAACTAATTTGTTAGGGAAAATGTAAATAATAAATCAGGTGTAAGTCATCATGGTCTTAGGGCGTTCCAATTCAACCCATTACAATGGTTCCTCCAGCAGTGGAGAAGTGGGGACTCGTGCAATGTATTAAATGACGTACATATGAGTCAACGAGACAGAGTGAAGTTAACAAGGGAAGGGCTTAAAACGAACTGGAACGCAGCCATTGTGTTGTCAGTGTCCGTGTCATGTGACCCAATTTTCCCTGTGTGTCTGATTGTTGCATTCAGTTTATCTGTTGTCCAGTTAACTCATTAGTTCCTCATTTAGTCTTGTCTTGTGTACGCGCCGATATAGATGGCGGCGCGTTCACACGCTGCGACTTCTCTCTCTCCCGACAGAAAGGTGTTTTCGTGTTTTTTTGTCTTGTGAGTTGCAGTGTTTTTGTACGCATTCGTCGCGTCTATTTGTTTCAAAGCGCGCATATAGTCGTGAGTGACTCTCCCACTCCCCCCTCCCAAATACACACACACACACTGTCACTTTAATCAGTCTGAAATAAGCTCTTTTGCACTACAAATAATTTTTTTTGCACTACAATCACTATATCTGCATTGTTGTTTACTTTACTGGTTTGCACTCTATCTTCCATATGCCTTGTGCTTTATATATATATTTTTACATTTTACCTTATTTGTATATTTGTATAGTTGTATTTTGTATTTTGTATTTAATCTGTATTTATGTTATCTGTATGCACCCAAGGGTCTGAGAGTAACGCAATTTCAATTCTCTGTGTGTATGTACTGTACATGTGGAAGAATTGACAATAAAGCAGACTTGACTTGACTTGACTTGACTTGTGTATATATGCTCCTTGTGTTCCTGAGTTCCTTTGTCCATGTCAGTGTTACAGTCTTGTGTGATTCGTTGAGTGAGTTTTGAATTAAAGACTATTCTTTGGATTATTCATCTTTGTGCACTACTTACACTACAATTACCCATGACATCATCTGTTTTCTCATATTTAATACATGAACTGTAAATACATTATATATTAATGTTTATTACAAATGTGCTTATAAAGTTTTCCATTGTGACAACTTACCCCCTACAACACTTTATCAGAATCAGAATTAGCTTTATTCGCCAGGTGTGTGCAAACACACGAGGAATTTTTTGTGTTTTTTTTAAGGTGCTCCTGGTACATACATACATGCATACATACATACACATCTGACATGAGAACAGAAAAAAAACATTTAAATAGTAAAACTTAACAATAAATAATGTGTATGAATCTGGAACAGTAGATTTATGTACAGATTTGTGCATTATTTACTCTATATAGATCTGTATAAAAAAAGAGATATGCATATGTATTTACATAATACTTGAGAAAGAGGCAATAATTAAAGATGTAGAATGAATTACGGAAATGAATTACAGAACACAGGTAAGGATTCATGTGTTAGCTGTTTAAGCTGGAGATGGCATGGGGGAAAAACAGGCAGTTTTTATGCCTAGATGTTCTAGTGCGCAGAGATCTGTAGCGTCTGCCTGAAGGGAGAAGTGCAAACAGGTTGTGTCCGGGGTGAGAGGGGTCTTTGATGATGTTACCTGCCCGTTTCTTTTTCTTTTTCTTTTCTTTTTTTGAATGACCCAAACCAGACAGTTATAGAAGAGCACAGAACCGACTCAAGTAAAACTGTGTCATCTGTGCCTGTGGCAGTTTGAACTTTTTCAGCTGACAAAGGAAGTACAACCTCTGCTTAGCCTTTTTCACAATGGAAAAATTCTGCAGTAATGACTTTAAGTTTTGAACAGACAAAAAAAAAAAAACGCCTTAGGAAATATTCACTGAAGTTAAATGTGTGACAACTTGCCCCAGTCTACCCTTTATAGATAAAATATAATGTTACAGGTCCCAGGCAAAATGTACCTTAAAATATATATTAATAAATATAATTCTATCTAAAAATAAAATAAAAAGTATAAAAATATATAATATTGCAACCTAAACTTGAAATTTATCAAAATTGATCAAATTGATGTTGTATTTTATAGTTCCTATATAAGAAACAACATAATTTCTTTCATAATGTGTTTTTCTCTTGTCTCTTTATTTAGAACTTTCTACAGACTTTCAATTTTTACAGAGTCAGAAGAGCCATATACAAGATGGTGAATTTATATTATTTTCATTATTAATGGGTATTTACAATATATTTTTATCAACAAAATATTACATTTGTTTTGTTTATCTTATAGAAAATACTTGTAGCTGAATGTGTGGTGTCTAAAATTATTAATATAAAAGAAATATTTTATGACCCCATGCTTTCCCATCTGTTTTTAGTGATCACGTATTTAAGAAAACATAAAGGTGAGTAAAAAGTGTAATTTAATAATTTAATCCAAATTCATTACTGAGCTCATTTATTGTAATTTCAGAGATTACAGTAAGAGTGAAATTTTTTTAAAGCATATATATATATATATATATAGTCACATGTTAAGTAAATCTAAAGACTGAGTAGATGTGTCTAAACTTTTCACTGGCACTGTACATCTGCTAAACTTTTTCTTTTCTTTTTTTTACAGTGAATGTGATTCTGGATGCTGATACAGCTCATCCAAGTCTCAATGTGTCTAGTGATGGGAAACAAGTGAGAGATGGAAACACACGACTGGAAAGAGTGGACAGGGAAGAGGAGCAAAATGACAAGTTTGATAAATATCTTGCTGTCCTTGGGAAGGAAGGGTTTTCTTCAGGGTGTTTTTACTATGAGGTGCAAGTGAAGGGACAACCTGTGTGGGATTTAGGAGTGGCCAGAGAATCCACTGAGAAAAAAGGGTCTAGCATAATGAATCTTCTCAAAGGATACTGGATTGCGGGTCTGAGATATGAGAAGTACATGTATCTGTCTTATAACTTTTATAACTCCCCAGAAGTACTTTTTTCTCTGAGAGTGAAGCCCCAGAGGGTCGGTGTGTTTGTGGATTATGAGAAGGGTCAGGTTTCCTTTTACGATGTGGAGTCCAGCTCTCATATCTACTCTTACACTGATCAGTCTTTTGATGAGAAACTCTATCCATTTGTTAGTTTGGGGTATGACAGTAATGAAATCTCTACACCACTGATTATCTGTGATGATTACTGATCAGTGAAAGAATTTACACGAACAACTGAAAAAAAGTGTAAGAGCAATGAAAACAAAATATTATTTACAGTACCAGTCGCAAATTTGTACAAAGGTATTTTAATGGTTTACATAATCTTAAAAAATGTATTTGTCTTGCTGTACTGTATATGTGTAATGTGCCTTTTTATCAATTTTTTTCTGTCTAAAAGGGGCAAAAAAATAAATGACAAGTAAAGCAAAAACAAACAAGCAATCAGAAATCATAAAGGGGATCCTAGATTTGTGTCTTCCATTTTAAAACCCACCAGCTGCCACTGCACTTGTGTCATTTGACAATCCAACTGCATTATTTTCTCAAAGTTTTGAGATGTTGAGCAGAATATCTGGAATTCTGTCATCCGTATAAAGTGGAATATGGTGTGTTTTTTTTACTGTTGTACTTGGTACTGTTGTACCAAGCCCCTGAAATACAAAAAGGTCTCATAAAAATAGTCCGTACAACACACAAGCACTGCACTCTAAAACAAACGTTTTGGCACTCGCACATGCACGCTAAACAGACGGAGCGCAATAATTCTGAGTCAAATATGCATTTTGCTAAAATATTAATTGTTGGACATTAAATGTGCCTTTTGTAGAATTTTAAACCTACATATAGATGTATTCTTATGATAGCAGTAACTGGGACTATTGTAATGGGTAAATAAAATGTAAGCTAATACAGTCTTAATTACTAGCTTACTACTTAATGTGTGTTTCTTATAGCAGTTAAAATGTAGCTTTAATTTAGTGACTTCACTTTTAGTTTAGTGATTTTAATGCTTTAAAGAGCAATGTTAGATTGTAAAGTTCTAATGCTATCTGTTCTAACTATAGAAGGTACAGCTGTCATAAAACCAGAGAAAAAGGCTGCATGGCTATGTGAAAGAGTCAGCGGTAATATCATTGTATTCCTATTGTTCAGTGTTAGAGGAGCTCAGCTTAGTCTGACAGTTTGCCTGCCCTGTACCAGGTTAGCTTCGCTGAATGTGATTCTCGCTGAATCACATCCTTGGTTGTTTGACACACCCCCAACCTACATTCAGAATTTGGTATTTAAATAAGGTTTAGGGTTTCTACATTGTAAAAATGGCCACCCTTGCTCCAAACACTCCTGAAACAAGAGCGATGTGTGTAACACCACCGAGAAGTTCTGTTGAAACGGGTGAAGATACGTACCGAGAAAGACGTGGTCCGGCAAAGATTGGCCCTGAATATGAAGATTTTGTGAAGCAAGATTTCTCTGTGTCTGATGAATGCGTGGGAAGATTTGTGTTTGACAAGACGCGGCAGACTGTGAAACTCTACATCTTACGACGAATATACATCAGAATGTAACCACCTGCTTTTGACCGCCGTAGACTGGGCATACTTTTACAATCAAATTTGGAGAGAATTGAATTACGGTGGAAACATTTGGTACTTTTTCCAGTGGGACGGTGCCACACAGGGAATGAGGTACCGTGCTACCATGCCATCAGAAAACATTTCAATATCAGTCTGTTGGAACAAAACGCTTCATGACCAAAATTTTCATCATTATGTCTGTTTAAAGATGGCGGCAGGTAGAGCAGGTGTAGCTATAGCTCTCTTAATATATGGATTAGTTTTAGCTTTCCTAAGACTGGTTAGCACCATTACATTTTTAAATCGTGTCAGATTTAATCGTCAACATCTTTATGGGAAATTACTTTCGAACAACATCAATATATCAACTCAACAAACGGAACAAACTGTGGGAAACCTTGGGTATGGGAGGCACGTTTTAGCAGTGACTTTTATCTTTCCATCCTTATACTACCGGGCAAAGAGACACTCCAAGCCGCCAGCTCGGTTTCGACATAGTGATGCGTTAATTATTATATTCTGTCTGCTATTATTCAGAGATATTCATCCATGTCCCGGTCCTTCTCACACCAAAATGGAGCAGGACGATTCTATTATGGTGGATTCGATACACATTTCAACTATCTCACAGGTACGCACTTGTTGTAGCGAGTTATTGCGTGATTACACCCAACCAACTAACCTCCCTTGTTCTGGCTCGGCGGGCGCTGTCGTGTCTGCTCGGGGAGTTGGCGCTGGTGTGGGAGCTGTGGGGGCCGGATGGCCTGGTAGCGGTCCGGCCGTGCTGTCTCCTGGGGATGTTTGTCCGTGGCCTGGTCGTGTTTGGGGCGGAACGGGAGGATCATTTCCCAAAGGGTGCGATGCATGCTACGGCTAATCTACAGGTACGCACTTTTTGTGGTGAGTTACCGTCTGATTATACTCAACCAGCTAATCCTTGTTCTGGTTCGATGGGCGCTGCTGCGGATGTCGGGCCTGCCCGAGACGTCGCTGCTGGTGTGGGGTTCATGAAAGTCGAGCGGCCTGTTGATAACCTAAACGAGTTTGGTGGCCCACGGTGTGTGCTTCGGGGGCCGTCCGAAACGGAGTTGGGCTCGGGTGCTGGCGTGGAGATCTTGGGCTCGGCGGGGTTGTCGGTGGGCTCGCTCGTGTAGGCCGGTTGGAGGAGTGGAGGAGATGCCGATCCACGGAGTACTTCTGATATTATTGACTTGAACTTAACATTAGATAATATACGCGGAGTCGGGACAAAGATGAAAGGTGTAAATAAGAGAGTGGTTAATCCAGCGATTTAAAAAAATAGGAAATGGAAGATATTCCGAACCCTCAATCAATCTAGAATAGTTTGGGATCCTAAAGCTAAATGAAGGGTCTCTTAGGTGGTCAACTAAACATAAGAAGCATTAAATCGAAAAGTGATCAAGTTCATCATCTCTTACTCAACTCAAATTTAGATTTCCTTTGTTTATCAGAGACTTGGCTTTCCGAAAATGTTCCTACTGCAGTAGTTCAGGTGCCTGGTTTTAATGTTTTTAGAAAGGGTAGAGAAGGCTCCAAAGGAGGTGGAGTAATGATATATATAAAGGATATTATTCAATGTAACGAAATCCAGTGGGTGAATCGCCAGGAATTGGAATGCATTGGTTTAAACATTGTCTTATCACCACAAATGTCGTTTACTCTCATTGTAATTTATCGTCCTCCTTCTTCTAACTGTAGTTTCTATGAAAATTTTGAGACTTTATTGAATGTAATTTTAACAAGGAGGTAATTATCATAGGTGATTTTAACATTAATTGGGAAGATAAATCTATTAGGAAAAATCTTAAGCAGATAACTGATAGTTTTGATCTTAAACAGCTAATTAGTGGACCTACTCGAATATCTAATTCTACTAAAAGTAAAATTGATCTAATATTTACTAATAGACCTGAGCGAATTTTGAAATCCTGTAATATGTTAACTGGTCTGTCTGACCATAATATGATTCTGGTAACTAGGAAACTAACTAAGAAGAGGTTTAGCTCATTTGTTAAGAAATGTGAATAAACAAGAGAATTTTAGGTGCTATTCAGCAGATAGAATGGGATCATCTATTATTGGGTATTGACTATGAGGAAGATAGTGAAATTTTTACAAAAAGATTAGAAAATATTATTACTGATTATACCTGTAAATTTAATCATAGAAACAAAAAGAATATGGTCCCATGGATAAATGTAGATATTCTGAATTTGATGAAATAAAGGGATCATGCTTTAAAAATCTCACTTAAAACTAAATTGAGTAATGATTGATATCGATTTACTATGTTAAGGAACTCTGTGGTAAAGAAAGTATGAAAAGCTAAAGCTGATTTTTTCCTCACTATGAGAGAAAAAGCAAGAGGCAATCCTGGAATCATTTGGAATCAGTTAAAAAAATTTACAGGACAACAAAATGAAGATAAGAAAATTCTAGAGCTTAAAGTAAAGGGAAAATCAATAAACAATCCAGCTGAGGTGGTAGAGATTTTTAATCAACATTTTGTTGATTCTATAGAAACCATTACTCGTTGTTTTCCGCCTGCGTATACTAACGTCTGTCCAGTTACAACAGTGGAGCCTGTTTTTAGAATAAGGCCTTTTAGTGATTCTGATGTTATGAGAACAATTAGATCTCTTAAATCATCTAGAGCAAAAGATAAATATGGTATGGATGTTGTTATGCTCAAAGAGTCTAGTTCGACTCTAACTAAACCTATTGCTAAAATTATTAACCTTTCAATTTCTCACGGAAAATTCCCAAGTCTTTGGAAGTCTGCGATTGTTGTTCCAATATTCAAAAGTGGAGATCCCCTTTCTATTGATAATTATAGGCCAATTAGTATTTTACCCACTGTTTCTAAGGTTATGGAGAAATTAGTTGCAAAACAGATAAGCAGTTACTTGAGTAGTAGTTCATTTTCATTGCATCCAATGCAGTTTGGTTTTAGAGCAAAATACGGTGTACTGGTTAAAGATCTGGGTTGGTATCTAATTTTATATACATGGTAATAGTCTTGCACAAGTTGCAAATTAACTCACAAATTCTATGGTTAATGTGTCAGCATGGCTAAAAGAGAATTGCTTACAACTAAATGTGTCCAAGTATGTATGTTTTTCTCTAAGTATAACAGTATTATTAAAGAGCCGGATGTTTACGTGTCAGGGGTGAGGCTGCAGGTAGTGCCTCAATATAAATATCTGGGAATAATGATTGATTCTAAACTTACATTTAAGTTTATTAGAGATTATGTGTCATTAGAGGCAGCTAAGATGTATATGTATTCTATGGTTATTTCTCACATGACTTACTGTTTAACCACCTGGTCTCAGGTGAGTTCAGTGACTCTGAAACCATTAGAGTCCTTATACAAACGTACACTTAAAGTCTTTGATAAGAAATCGGTACATTATCATCATTGTCTAATACTGAAAAAATATAATTTGTTAAGTTGGGAAAACATCATTAAGTATGAAATGTATGCTTGATGTATAAAATTATTTATGGTTTATCTTCTCCCCCTCTTAGTCAGTTAGTTAGTATTAGAACAACTGATTATCGTTCTACAAGCGGTGCATTAAGAGGAGACTGTATCATACCGCTTAGAC